ATCAGTCTCATTATAGGGGAAGAGTATCAAAGGCAGCCTCTCCACTACGGCCTACATTCTTCGTTGGGGTCATCCCTGTGGATCCCTGAATATTTCCCTAGTGCCAGACCTCGATCTACACCTATACTGGCTCCCTCTATCAAGGAGTCTCCTTTCTTGCCCTCCTGTATTCTTCCCCTGTCTCAGTCTTCCTGATCCCTCATTCTCCTCCCCCTCCTCTTCTCTCCTTCTTCCCTTATAGTACAGCTCTTGGAAGGCCTATGACCAGTCTTCTTCCAGCTGCAGTGGCTTGCAAATATACAACACCGTTCCCAAGCATCACATGGTTTGAGGGGTTCTCAATGCTGTAAAAATGCTAAAGACCTTTTAGGCACGGTGACTTTTAGACTCAGTCTTTTTTCGTGCTGAATTGGGAGTTAGATGTGGGTAAGGATCTTCTTCAGCCTGCCCTTTTTGCACAATTCTGGTGCTTGACAGAAGGGGAAATAGTCCTGGAACACTACCTGGAATTCAGAGACAACCCACAGGCATCACTTAACTAGCTCTTTTTTTAAAAAAAATCATCTGTTTATTTTACATCCTGGCCATAGCCTCTCCCCCACATCCTCCCCTCCAAGTCCGTATCCCTCATTACTCCACTTCCACCCCCAATCCCCTCCTTTTCTGTCTCCATCCAGGAAAGGGTAGATCTCCTATGAATATCAGCAAATGTGGCATATCAAGTTGCAGTTAAGACTAAGCACCTCCCCAAGTATTAAGGCTGGTCAAGGTGACCCAGTGTGAGGAGTAGGGGCCCAAAAGCTAGGAAAAGAGTTGGAGACAGACTTGTTCCTGCTGTTAGGAGTCCCATAACAGGACCAAGCTACACCACTGCCACATATATGCAGAGCACCTGGGTCAGTCCCATGTAGGCTCTCTGGTTGTTGATTCAGTCTCTGAGAGCCCCTGTGAGCCCAGGTTAGTTGATTGTGTGAGTCTTACCATGGTGTCCTTGACCCCTCTGGTACCTACACACCTTTCTCCTCCTTCTCTGCAGGGTTCCCAAACTCTGCCTAATGTTTGGCTGTTAAGTCTCTGCATCTGTGTCCATCAGTTGCTCTCTGAAAATTGGGCCTGGAACCAATCTGGTCACAGGAGACAGATAGTAACTAGCTCTTTTCCTTAAGTAGCTCTTGAAAAATCTGTAGAGATCTGTGCTTTTAGTGGGGAAGGGGTTTGGTGGCCTTAGGAGTCTCACGACTGTCAACATTTTCACTGTCTCTTATCCTATGAAGACTAGAGTTGATCATAGAAATTGGCTGATTGTGATAGCTAATCTTGGTTGTCAAGTTAATAGGATCTACAATCACCCAGAAGACAAGTCTCTGGATATGCCTGTGAGGGATTATAAAGATAAAGTTAATGAGGTGGAAAGACTTGCCTACCATGGGTAATGATAATATTCTATGGATTGGGGTCATGGCCAGAGTAAAATGGAAAAAGTGAGATGAGCATGCACATTCATCACTCTTTGCTTCCTGACTGTCGCTGTTAATGTGGCCAGCTGCCTCCTGCTTTACTTCCATAATGGACAATATCCCTGGAACCGTGAGCCAAAATAGGTCCCTCTTCCCTTAAGTTGCTTTTGTTGTATATGTTATTACAGCAATGGTGAAATCAACTAATATGCTGATGGATCTAAGAATGTTAGAAACAGAGACATTATCAGTTAGTTTTTCCAGTAGGGCAAAGGAACAGGGAAATAAGAGACCAAAGGATTGTGTGACTGACAGCGCCAGAGAGTCTTAAGACTGAAAATAGAGAAGCTGGTTGATGAGAGGAATCAGATGTCAGGAAACTTACAGGTTTATACCAGCCCCGGGGATTCCAATAAAAGTAGAATAGGAATCCTACCCTTAAGATCCTATAATAATTTAGTTGGAACATAAAAATGAATATACTTTAAATAATTCATCATTTGAGACTAAAATGTGGTGCTGACAAAAAAAACTGCCTGAGAAGGGACAGATCCATGGACTGACCTCCTCTGTGAGCTGAGTGGGTGATTAAGAGTGCATATTAAGCCAAGACACTTTGTGCTCTAGATATAATGGCTACAGCATTTGGAGTCAAGTCTGATTGAGTCCTTCCTGACATCATGGAAGAAGGAATGGATGGAGTCTTCATCATCACCATTTGTTGATCATCACTATCATTGAGAGTCACACTAAACATTCATTAGGCATCCTCCTTCTATTCACACTTCTGTTGGGGAGGCAGAACATTCAAGAGAGTATGTGTACCAAGAGCACAAGGAAAGGAAAATGAGGGGAGGGGAGGTTAGAAATGGCTTGGCAGGGTTAGAGGTGACTCCTGAAAGAAGACAAGAGCTTGGGCTAATGAAGAAAGGGATGCAGTGAGCTGTAAATGGCAACAACACGGTACACAAGTGGGGGTGAGCAGGACGAACACGGCTAAGTGAGCAAACCTGCTGGACTGGTGTAAAAGGTGTGCAGTATGGTAGCGTGGGTGACTAAAATTATAGAGAAGCAGAAGTGATTACAGATAGCCTTGGATGTCAGACAGAACAACCAGTCATTTGGGAACAAAATAAGGCTGTAGAGCTGTGGACTGGGGGAGTGGTGAAGGCATGGGGCATAAGGCACAGAGGCTGAAAGAACACTGCAATTTCATCGTACAATCTTTGTACTTTTGCTTTGTACTTTCTGTGTTTGGATGACTGATTCACCCTGTCCTAAGTTGGTCCTCCTGCCTGAAATCTTCCTTATAAGCTGTTTGTTAAAGCAGTTGACACACCAGCACTTGGAAGGCAGAGGCAGGTGGATGTGTTTGAGCCTGGGTCCATCCTGGTCTACATAGTGAGCCAGCCAGGGCTACATAGTGAGACCTTGTCTCAAAAACAAACAAACAAACAAACAAACAAAATAGCAAAGCCCTCAAACCAATAAAAATTAAAAAAAGGAAAGCAGCCCAAGGAGATTATGCCCTGTGTCCCACTGGTGGAGCACCCATCTTCTAAGAGGCCAACAGGTTTTAAGAAGTTGTTCTCGATAGTATCACAAAAGAGGAAGTATGAACCTCCCAGGCCAGCTGCTAGACCAGGGGCAGCTGTGCTTTAGATGACAATCTTTCCAAGTGGAATCTGTCCCCCAGTAGGTTCTTGGGAAAGGAGGTGACATTGAGGGAGCTTAAAACACATACACACGCGTCACGCAACACACACACACACACACACACACACACACACACACACACACACACACACACACACCATAAAAGACAAAGACTAAATCTATCTTGAGGCCATCCATCCTTTTGGTGGCTGCTGCTCTGGCCACTCCTCCCATAGGTTCCTTTTGCTGACTTCCTGTGGTAGGAGATTGGCACCGGGTCTGCTACATTTATATCGCTCAGAGGCAGCTGTTTTCCTTTCTTCTTTGGGGTTTAGGATTATGCAAACCAAGCATGAAAACAAAAGCTCAGTGAGGTGGGGGAGGATTGCCTTTAAAAATCCAGGCAATTTTAAGAGCTCTTTGAGACGTCCCTCTCCGTTTTCACTAACATCTCTCTTGGCTCTTTGCCAGTCTGTTGAGATTCCCGCCCCTCATCAGAGCCTTTTAACCAAAGACCTAAAAGTTTATTTTGAAGCATCTGTCCTGGCCTCATTTTGAAAGAGCAGAAATCAAGGCATATATGTGCTTTCAGTGTCTGTGGGCTGGCTTTGAGCTTTGATCTCTATCTGATTCAATCTTGCTTTTGCTGCAAGCCGTCTTACCTGGACGGGAAACTCTGACCCAGTTCCCTCTCAGGTTCCCACTTTTCTGATATTATCTGGAGGGCAATAGGACCTGGGGAGGTTCAACCCTGCGGCCAAGGGAGACACACCTGCCTAACCGCGTGGGTTGAGCTAGTGTGGGAGCGAGACTCTTTAGCTAGCTGTGGAGGGAGGGGTAGAAGTGGGTGCCTGCTGCTGCTCCCGGAGAAGAAGAAAGCTGTGGCTCCCTCCTGGATCCCGAGGTCATGGTGAGAAATGTTGCAGAAGAATGGCTCAGGCTCCTTATTGTTGTGCCTAGCTACCTGGAGCATCCTTTGGCTATTCGTCCTGGAACTCTGGCTCATTTTGCTTTGCCCCAGCTGTGTCTCCCACTCGCCCAGCCTACACCACCACCACCCCGCCCAAGTCATCCAGGTGCCATAGGTCCCAAAGCCCAGGACCCGCCGCACTTCTCAAACTCTGCCTTTCATAGCAAAGTGTCTCCGTGAAGAAATCCCTCCAGCCTCTCTAATTCGGTACCGCGGGCTCCGCTTCTTTCTGAGGAGACCTCCCTTGGGGACATTGGTGGCATTATTCCAGCCCCGAGCCAGGCGGTCTTGGGGGCGGGGCTTGGAGAACCTTCCTGAGAACTCTTGCCTCGCTGCAGGTCCTGAGAGCGCGCTGGCTGACCAGCGCTGAACAGGCAAGCTAATAGGCACAATTTAGCAGCAAGTTGGATGGATGCCTAGGTGCTGAACTCAATCCTCCAGGCTTTGATCCTTCTTCTACCTTGGTTCAGTTCTCTGCTGACTTGAGAGTCCACATTGATGAGAATTCCTCAGGAGAAGCTGCTGCCTGTGTGATGTGCCACCCCAGAGTGGCTGCTCCCCTGCCTGGGGGACTGTGAAAGGAACCTCGGTGGAAATAGCTGTTCCTTGACTTTTCCCACGCCTGGAATTGGACACCAGACACAGTGTGGGATGTTTGTCTAAGTTTCTCAGCACCTATGCGGATGATTGCATTCCTGGGCCAATCAAGAGTGAAGTTCAAAGAGATACTTCTGGACTCTCTGTTCCAGACTCTCAAGTCAAATCTAGAAGAGAGGTGTCCCTGCTGTGACTCGTTGGTCTTCATTCAGGAAGTTGATTTGACACTGTCCACCTGACTGAACCTTGGAGAGCAGTGGCTACGGGGGCTCTGTTGGGGATGGATGGGGAAAGAATTCTGAACTCCAGACCATAAGAGATTCTCCACAATGGATAGAGTTTATGAAATTCCCGAGGAGCCAAATGTGGTTCCAGTTTCATCTCTGGGAGAAGATGTCATCCGTGGACCTAATCCACGCTTTACCTTTCCATTTAGTATCCTCTTCTCCACCTTTTTGTACTGTGGGGAGGCTGCATCTGCCTTGTATATGGTTAGGATTTATCGAAAGAATAATGAAACCTTCTGGATGACATACACTTTTTCCTTCTTTATGTTTTCATCCATTATGGTTCAGTTGACCCTCATTTTTGTCCACAGAGACCTGGCCAAAGATAGACCACTATCATTATTTATGCATCTAATTCTCTTGGGACCTGTTATCAGGTGAGCATTTTTAAATCTCTTCCCAACCAGCCCCTTCAAACCTGTACAGAGGAGGATGAAGCTAATATTTATACGACTGATGACTGTGTCTCTAATCTAATTCTTCCGTTCCTTCTCAGTTTCCCTGTCTACTGCCCCAAAACCTTATCTGAAATCTTGGGTGCCATCATGGTGCCTTGTGGCATGTATATGTGTTCACAAACCGTGAGCAGTATCACCGGTATGACTTGATCAGACAATTCTTACTGAGTTTGTGTTGTGAAAACTGGTGTGGAACCAACAAATGTGGCCACCTGGTGTGCAGGCTTTAGCTACAGAGTGATTTTTCACTTTACTTGGAATGAAATCCAGTGTGTTGGGCCTACTAAGTAAGTGCTGTTTCACTGAGCTATAGTCCTTGCCTCTAGAGTCTATAATTTGAATTCTGCCTTTCAGATGCTTTATGGATGGATGATCATTCATTCCTGCTTCTATTCTGTCCCACGTTCAATTTTTTACTGCTTGATCTTCTTGGGCTGGCTTTTTATTTTTTGCCATTTTCAAACCTTCTGGAGTTATTTGACATCTGGAAAGTACTTTGTGTAATAGGTAGTAGCAAGCTGTCACCACAACACAATGAAGTTCACTTTTCTCTATTGGTAGGTCAGTCTCTATGCTGCTGCAGTGATGTACACAGAGTGGAAGGACAAAAGGAAGGTAGTTCACCTCTGTTTGGAATTAGTAGCAAAGAACAGTAGTATATCAGGTATTCCCATTCAGATTGCTGTAAGGAGGGGGAGAATGTGCTTAATTGTAGGGAGACAGGCACCTGTGCCCGAAGACTCATCTGGATGCTATGGGGTTTCAAGGTAGAGAAACATTGTGTAACTCATGAAGTCAGTAGGGAGGAGTGGACCAAGTTTGTCATGACTGTAAGAGAGGCAAACATCTACAGTCAGCTGAGGAATATGGGTCACAGTGTTGATGTTGTAATCACAATGGGAAGATGGTGTATCATTAGAGATCTAAAAGCAGTCTGTGCAACTTATTAAGAATGAACCCTCCCTTAATAAATTTATTATCTATCTATGTAACTCTATGGGTCAATTATATTTCCTTAAATCTGGAAAATGTTAATCAGCATTGCTTTAAACAAGGAGGAACTGGTTAGGTTCCACCATAGAAAATGTGGGATAACTTCACCAAGCAGTGGTCTGAATTAGGAGCTCAAGAGTCTAGTCCTCCCTCTGTTATTGAATGGCCTCCTGGGCCTCAGTTCCCTCACCTGTAAAATAAATGGGTTGGACTAGACCTTGTGTTCCAAATCCAATTACTCACAGGAGCTAGGCATATACGATAAGTGAACCAAGTGGGCCAAGTATTCAGGAAACTGTCTCAGTGTTAAAGAAATGGAATACCATGGCAAACTGGAATCTGGGACATGCCTGTCTAGGAGGCAGCCACTTAAAAGTTCTAGCCCATTGCTTCTAGGTTAGAATTCAGACTCAGTATTGCCAGATCTAGCTTTTGAGGACAAGTTAGTTCCCAAGATGGGGTTTTATGTGAAATTTCATGCTTTTAAATTTGGCAACTTACTAACTGCAAAAAATGCAGTATGGCCATACTAACCACATATATCCAGATGTGACTTCGCTGGCCATATGTATGTAACTTTCCGGTTGAGTGATCTAAAGGTACTTTCCTATTCTACGTTTTTCAAGTTGGCTGTAAAAGGAAGACTATCTTTAACTTGGAACCATGAGATTTCAAGATGTCACTAGACACTCAAGACAACCATTTTTTGTTCCTCTTTAAAACGCAATATACTGAATTAGCAGTTGAAGAGGATGCAAGTTTTAGCAAGTACCCAGCCCTCGGTTTTTACTTCCCTTTTTTTTTTGTTTGTTTGTTAGCTTCTAGGCTGTTTTTGACCTTGCTCTACATGGACTGTTGTTCACTATTTTTCAGATTTGTCTTTTAACTTGTAGTGCACATGGATTGAGATGCTTTTATAACCTCAGTTACTCTAATCCCACAGCAGAAAAAAATAATTGTTTTTTTAATTTAAAATTTTTATAGAATTTTTGAGAATTTCCTGAATTCATACTGTATTCATATCATTTCTAACTCTTTCCCCTTCAACTTCTTCTGTGTTCCCCACTCACTTTCAAATTCAGGACTCTTATTTTTTATTGATATATATCAATTATATATTTATAGTTTTATATTTATAAATATTTCTATAGTTCATATTAACATTTGTATTTACATTCATAAATATATAAGTATTTATATATATTTATATAGGTATAAACATGAGATATTTATATAAATATATTTATATCATATATATATAACTTATTGAGTCCATTTAGTGTTGTTCATATGTGTATGTATTTAAGGCTGACCACTTGGGGTTGACCACAAGGTAACCTATCATGGAGTCTGTTCCTGTTCAAGACTGATTAGCCTTCCCTCAGCAGTCATGTATTGCCTGTAATTCTTCAGAAAAATAATTGTAAGCCCAGAAATGATACTATTTATATGCTTATTTTCAAAAACCATTCCTTTTCTCATTAGGTAAGAGTTTGATTACTGCTGTCAGGCAAATGAAGCTGTTTTTAGGACACAGCTCTCTTACATGAAATGCAAACATGGAAATGAAGATGTACTTTGGTTTACTGTAGCTCAGGAGCAAGACAAGAACCCTTGCTTAAACTAGCAAAATAGCCACAAGAATAGAAACAAGAACTTCATGCCCCTGCCTCAATATTTTGCTAATCGGTAATATGGATGGACTTGAAAATGAGCTTAGACATTTCTCCGTAAATAGTGGAAGAGTTGCAATTTCTTCTTTCTTTCCTTCCTCTTCTCACCCAGGTCCTACAGTTTGTCGATAGAAAATGGAAATTTCAGGGCTGGGAAGGTAAAGCACTTACTGTGCAAGCATGAGGGTTTGAATATAGGTCCCGAGAAGCCATCTACAACTGTCTCTGTAGTCCCAATACTCCTACAGTGAGATGGGAGGCAAAGACAAGAAAATCCTCAGAAGTTTTGCAGGCCAGCTAGCCTGGTGCATACAAGGATAACTATACCTCAAACATGGCAGATGGCAAGGAACAACACACCAGGTTGTCTTTGTCCTTTGATCTCTATGTACACAAACTATGGTACATGTATGCCTCTACATACACACATGCACGCACGCACGCACGCACGCACGCATGTGCCCACACTCTTGTGTGCATTCATAGTGCTCAAATGTGGAAATTTCTCCTGTACGTATTGGAGTAGTACACATGAAAAAAATTCCAGGGGACCCTCTGGGAAATGGTAGCCAATACTTATAGTCTAAACGTTCCTATTAACAGTCAAAGCCTAGAAATCCTGAACTTGTCTTTAATCTGTTTTCCTGTGAAATCACTCTGTTATCCTCACCTTCTGCCATGTCTCACCCCCTTCTCTTTTTCATTCTTGTTCTTTCATTTGCTCAGCAAATGTTTATCAAATTCTCTCTATGTGATAAGATCTGGAGAAAAGATAAATAGAGCCTCTGCCCTCAATCTATTGGAGAAGATGTCTTAATTTCCACTACATATATTCTTGTCAAAGATAGTCAAGTTTCCATTCTTTTCGGGGTAAGTGGGGAGAAGCGATAACTCAAGTGTAACCGGACAGCATGTACTAGTTGCTGTTTTTCTTCTGTTTACTGCGTCAGAGTTGCCAGAACTTTTGATTTTTGATGGGGGAGGTGTGGGAGGGTCACAGCAGGAAATAGACTGTCATCAAGACTTCAAGGGTAATATGCTCTGGTAAAGTTTTGTTCTTCATAAGAAAGAATCATGTTGAAAGGGATCTGTCCCCAGCAAGAGGCACACAAAAGAAATGTTTTCTTGTAAAAGCAGAACTTAAGAATCTCAGTTATGAAGCTGAATGCATTTCTTAAAGAATGTTTGAATTTAGGAATTTAAGGTCTTGTGAAAACCAAGGCCTTTTGGAGACTTCATCTTTATCTCAGAACACAGTATTTCTTAATGCTTTTGTATTTGAAACACTTAAAGCAAAACCACAGGCATATTTTTGCAGAGGTAAAACAATTCCTTGACTACAAAGAAGTTTTTTTCTGAAATAGTGTTCTTAGGCCAGCAGGTGACCAAAGAGAAAAAATACTTAGACCTAAGTGACTTATACAAGGTATGGCCAACCCTTTAATTCATGTGAAATGGACAGAAGAAAGGAAATGGCAAAAAAGTAATACAACCTCCCCCAGATTTTTCCCTTTATGACACCTTCCTTTCTTGGGACAATTTTTAGCTAAGTTCCCATGATGCTTTACTCCTGCAGATGTTTGGAGGCCATGATTAAGTACCTTACAAATTGGAAGAAAGAGGGGCAAGAGGAGCCCTATGTCAGCCTCACCTAAAATTAGATGCTAATAGATGGCCAGGAGGTGCTGATAGAATGGGAGGTGGGCCACTCCATCCGGACCCTGGCTATGCACCGTAATGCCTACAAACGTATGTCACAGATTCAAGCCTTCCTGGGCTCAGTGCCCCAGCTGACCTATCAGCTTTATGTGACTCTGATCTCTGCAGAGGTCCCTCTGGGTAGAGGTGAGTGGGGTCAAGAAAAGGGAGGGCTCTGTTTAAACCAA